TGGCGTAGATTGGGTAAAATCGAGGATGGGGCAAGCTTCCTGGAAATATCATCCCAGTTTGGACCGAGTTCGAGTTTAAGGTAGGATATCGTAGAACAAGCTTCTGATGAGAAGACGCTGCTGATCAAGGACCGGCGATCCTTCCGCACACATACTCAAGCTCTCGAGACTGACATTCAGATCGACGGAAGAAGAGGGAGGATGCTGGAGAATGATCGCCGTGGAACTTCAGCAATGGTGAGGCTTTGGAGCATCGGTGCCGTGAGGAGATCGAGAGTATCCGAATCCTCTACGTAGAGTTGGCGGAGCTCCGCCATAAGCACCTGGCTGCCGCTGGTCGACGACAACTCACTGGGAAGCAGGTGACACGTTCTAAGCTTCGGTAACTGGGAAAGGAGTTGTAAATCTTCTGCAGAAGTGATGCATCCGGAATAATGAGTTATCCCATGTGGTAACCTGACTTGATGGATCCCTTGGCTTGGAAGAACCGCTTGCCAGAGCAGCGGGGCATTCAAGCACACATCTGAGTGATAATCACCATCATCATCAAAGATATCTATTTGAATCGTCTGCAGCACGGGAAGGCGTGATACAAAGTCCAGGTGGTAGGCACGATGCATATTGATATGAATATACACGTCCCTCCACTGATAGCAGGATTGAACGAGTAAGGGACATGATTTCACCATCTTCTGCGAGATTGGCGCCGTCACAGATGACTACCAGACTCAAAGGGTATTCGCCTGTGCGTTCGAGATATGCCTGCAATATCTCGCGAGCGTGCTTGGAGAAAGGTGACTTCACCAAGACATACCGAGCCCAGGATGCTGGTGAGGTGTGTAGAATATCTCTCCAAAGCCCACAGACACTACCCAAGACCCAAAGAGGCCCGGCCATGTCTAGACTATCACCTTCGAAAGAGTCGCAAATAGAATGGAAGATTTCAAGGAGAATATCTCGGGGGAGGCGACGGATGGGGGCGTATACCGACTTGCGATTTTCCAGGCAGTTCAAAATTGTACGCCAGTGCCGCTGGGTATCTTGAAGCTGGGCATCATACCAAGACCACAGCCGCTCTAGCTTTGCGATGTCATCATTTATCGGGGCATGGTCGGACTCGAGCATTGATGGCCGCGACCCACGTAGAATCTGTGAAACGAGGTTGTCGGAAGCTTTGAGAGTTTGTAGCTGTGGCTCAGGGAGAAAGGGAATTGACGAAATCCGCAATTGCTGCAGGTGAGGCACGACATTCAGATGTGAATCTTGGAAGATGGCTCAGGAAGTTGCTGGAAAAAGATGGTCTTGTATACCGGCTTTCGCTACAGAACGAACAAAGTCAGCCTGGTACTTAGGCCGCGTTATAGATAGTCGCGTAACTCGTACCTGTCCGTGTATGAAGATGGAGGCCGGCCAGGCCAGGCCCGAAGATGGACTTAAAAAGTAGGAAGCGCACGTGGCCCTTTGCTGCCGCTTAAATCAAACTCCGCTCCGCCGAACTTGCAGTATGGCTCTCGTCTTCAAAGCCATATCCAAGGTCTTCTATGATTTCAGCCATCCTGCGACAGCGGACTCCTTCGTTGAGTATTCTCGTACGTACAGATGGTCCTTCATTTCATAAGGCGCCCGCCTGCTCACCATAGAACGGTGAAAGCAATTACTACGTTTGTTTCCATCATCTGGTAACGGCCATTAGAGATAAGTACTTGGTAGCGAGACTCCGCCAGTGTCACCAGTCTAGTAGCCAGTCCTCCAAGTCGTGCGCGCGCTCTCTGATTTAATTCCTCGATGGCGAGAACGGAAAAAAAAAATAACTTGTAACCATGAACCTGATCGCTCTTAGGCCTCGGGTCCATTACCGCGTAAACTTGTACTAAACCGTGGCCGCCAACATTCTCGGGCAACAAACAAAAATCTGCAAAAGGCAACAATATAACATAGCTCATAAAGCATTCTTGCCAGCGTACGAATAACGACCGATCATGGTGACTTACCGTATCTCAGACATTTTGAGACTCGACGACAATGACCATGACTCTCTATTCCTCCAAAGGAGGCGTCGAAACCTACTACTTCCACTATACTTCAAACAGCGACATCCCAGTAGAGGCCATCTGCTGGAATGAAGGGGAGGAGGATCAGCCAATCGAAATTCCCTCAACTATTAACGATACTACCAACACAACGGACGATCTCGTCGACCAAGCACGCGAACTCATCAAAAACTTCCAGGGCGACACTCCAAGTGGTTGACCGCCTTGGGCGGGCCCGGGATTGTCGTTGCTATCTTGTCTTCTATGCTCGACTATGCGCCCAACGTGCGCTATGTTGCCTCTGCCATATGTGCCTGCAAAAGCATCAGTCAACTGGCTTTAGCATGGTTCGCGTATTTCCTATGGCCGTGTCCGTTCGATACCCTTCGCTTGCGTCTTCCTAAATCTGAATACTAGTAGTCAAGGCGCTAAACTGGTACTACTACTCGACTCGAGAAGAGGAGTGGCTGTATTCCGACCTACGACAACAAGTCCTTTCCAACCCTTGTATCATGCATGCGGGCATCTGACTCGGATCATTTCCCAGCTGCTACGACAACAGGACTATCACTGTCCGATCACAGGCATGGTGGAACTCGGCCAACCTATGCTTTCTTCCAAGTGGACGGGCTCGCTCGGGATCTTTCACATCCTTCAGAGACCTCGGATCTTCGACTCCCGACGAAACAGACAAACCGATTTCTTCGGACCCATCACGCGAGAGATCATACAGAACTATATCGGCTCCGGCATGGACCTGGATTCAATTCCGCGTGACGACCCCAGTAACGCCGTCGCCCTCGAACTCAACACCTGCTCGCATCTCAGAGACTTTAGGATGTCGCTCAAGGCGACTGGGGTGAGTGAACCACCGCCTCACCTTCAAATCCACGCTACCCACCTATAATAGAACCCCAACGAATACGCCGTCGAGAGGTACGGAGCAAGCCTATGGCCCGTACTCATGAACGACATAATCGTCTTCAAAGAGGGTACACCGCCCGACCCACGATACATCCATTTGCATGCATGCGTGGCAGACGTACTCCAACGAAGCGGTGTGGGAAGCGTCATTGACAAGATACTCGGATGTCTGCCCTATCCGAGTCGGACACGGCATCCAGAAGATCTCCAAGGAGTCTTGACCACACTCGGACTTCGGTACTCGCTAATCACAGCCTTGCAGTTGCCCCAGAGTGATTTTGAAGCTCTTGTCTAATCATATTGTACGTCTATTCCGTTACGAGCGACTTCCAGTTGAAGGGTTCATACCGAACCTACTTTTATTCCAGGCCATTACGAAAATGGGTACAAGCAGCTCTCGGAGATAGAATATTGTATCTTGCACTGCGATAGAAAATTCCGAAAGATATAGGGCTCGCCTGTAATTCGTACTAAGTGTACTTGTTCCCCTCAGTTTCTAATCACGCATCCAAAAAATCCAATGCAAAAGAAATTTTAAGAAATCCGGAACGCGGTATGAACCAACCGCGATCTGTGCTACTACTCATTTAGAGGCTGATGTCCTAAAGACGGGACAGCCGCTAGAGACTTGCGTCAAAGATGGGTGGAGAAAATCAAACGGCGCATTGCAAAAAAGGAGGAAGACCAGGCGACGTCTCCGCTTATGATCCTGCAGCCGTCGATTTTCTTTCCCAGGAAATCGGACAGTTCTTGAGGTCTTGACTCTGGACTCTGGACTCTCGTAAACTCGTCAATTCTTGAATCGATCCATGTCTCTGTTAAAACTTCAAAAACAAGGAATTCTGGAAGCATTCAGATAGGGGGAATCAAACCCCGAGCTGCGGTCAATATGCTCTGTTGATGAAAGGCGGCGATGTTAACTGTTACACCATATCTGATAGGCAAAGACCCGATCTTCGTTATTTGAAAATGACACGATGACCTTTGAAGCCTACTGGGCTCCCCACATCAGTAAGTCGGTGCCTCCCTCATAAATGCCCCAAGTGAACAGGATGGATTAAGGAAAAGGAGAACAGATGGATAGATATATTCCTTGCAAGGTTGATGTGGGGAGGGGATGGGCGCTCGTGGAGTGCCATAGGAATTAAAGAAAAGTGAGTGATGTACTCCAGAGAGGGGAATGCCTACAAAACCTGAGAAGAATGGGCGGATGTAGCGTCAATTTCTTCCGCCACAGGGATAGCTCCCGAGATAGATATCGACCGTCCTTCGTGCGTGCTGGGACTCGGAGATCCGAGCCCACGACAGCAATTCATCCTCTTCTACAGCGTTCTTTTAAGATGAAAAACAGGTGGTAAGCCAATTCATTATGAAGGTGAGGTGTTTATGTTTATGGGAGAGAAGGGACACATCTCTGATACTCGCGCTCGTTTCTCTCAAGCGCTGGGGCCAGAAAAGGTGGAGGCAAGAATAGAACGTATCCACGCGAAAGGGCGGGGTGGAGGGCGATCATCTAACTTGCGGACGGATGAGGGTGACATGTGTACATCAGTTTCGATACCGGCACTACCCTGGAGATGTGGGCGTTGCGGACTCTTTCCTTCTGTGATGAGCTCGTTTCTCAAACGCGACCATTCACGGGAAAGGAGAGCGCAAGGAAGGCTCTGTCGTCGTTGACCTTTGATGATACGGACGTCTAGGAGTCTTGTGTATATTCGTACGACAATCGTGCCCTCCCTGACGCCGCATGTCTTTGGCGGACTCTTCCGCATAGGAAGGAGGCGCTTTGAGTGTTGGTGGTTGGAAGGAAAGATGAATTCAGGGCCGAAGATGAGAAATACCGGCTGTATCTGCGGGAAAGGGGTGCGCACGAAATTTCAATCCACTGTGCCCAAATTGAGTCTGGGATGAGCGCGGACAAAAGCACATCAACAAGCTCTCGAAACTTCGGCCATGGCCACTGGCGGGCAGCGGCCGCCGGCCACATACTCACAAGGAGCAAACTTGTAGCTGGTGTTTGCAAAAATACCTCATAATGTGGCTCAGTTCGGATACGGGGAATCGAACCCTGAGCTGCCGCGAAATACTTGAGAGGCGGCAATGTTAGCCGTTACACCATATCCGACTCAATCTAGAACAGAGGGCCTTTCTCCACGGCCAACTCGACTCATCTACTGATGAAAAGAGCTCACGCGGCTAGATCTTTATGGAAGGAGAAAACCAAGGAGAAGAATGGCTACGAACGGACGATTTTCAGACCCATGTTGGCCAAGACAATGAGGGAAAGATATTTGATTTCACGAAGGGACAGGACGACAATGACGAGACTATGCCGCACGTTATACTGGTGCCAAAGGGTGCGAGTGGAAATGAAAAGTTGGCTCACGGAGACGCGTGGCAGCTTGGAACGGAAGGTTTTACAATTCAGCACTGTGGGATGTCGTTACGTCGACGAAGATGACAGGAGGAGGGAGAGAAAGCACCATGTTTTGTTCCAGTCGTATGTGGTAGTATGGGGAACTCAAATTCGTCCGCCTTGTCTCATGCACACGCGTAGTTCACCATCTGATTGCGCACATCAATAAGTCGGTGCCTCCCTCATAAAGGGTTCCATGACGCATCAAGCAAAAAGGACAGGCGTTTCAAGGAGAAGAGCAGAGGGATAAACATTCCTTGCCAGAGCAGTAACTTGAACTGATGAGAGTAGGAAGGTATTTCTCCGCGGCTTTAATTTGAATTCCATGATAGGGGCAATAACAGGTTCTTAAGGGGAGGGTAGAACGACACGTCACGCTCTGGGCGTGCGTGTTGGCGCTAGGATTTAGACGACCGTCTCTCTGGGGTAGATGATTTCGTGATGTTTGGACGCCATTGCGAGAGACAGGGAGAGCGAGGGAAGCTTGGCATGACTTTATCGAAAGACATGAGCGTAGCTGGTCAGGGAGACCGTGAACTTCAAATCAGGCAAGAAACACGAGCGTCACACCTTTGTATTACTCTGCACCAACAACCTGGTCATCCCCCCCCCAAAATCCAAGTGGCAAGTCTGTTTGATGGCAATGGAAGCTATCACGCAGTGCCTAAGACGAGCTGCACAACTACAGCGCCAGACTCGTCTGAGGACGCGAGGATTCAGGAACGACGCAGCAAAGTGTCGAGAAAAGGTGGTCATGATACGCTTCAGGGGTACAACTTGGATTAGCTTCGAGAAGCTTGGCAGTGGTAGGACGGTTTGACATTCCAGCACTGTGGAGGTTGTAGAGATGTCGGATGTCGTTACATCGGCGAAGATGAGAGAAGGGAAGGAAAGCGCCAAGTTTGGTTCCAGTGGTATGTGGTAGCATCTGGCACCTGTCTCTCTATTCTGCGCCTTGTCTCGTGCACACACGTAGTCCACGCGCACATCGATAAGCCGGTGAGTATCTCTCTGCGGATTCGAATTCCATGGCGGAGTTTCTTCCCCTACTAAAAGGAGGAGTACATAGAATGACGCGTCACACTCCAGTCGTACGTGTTGGCTCTCTGGGAGGGAGGGTTCTATGACGTTCGAACGTCACCGCGAGAGATAAGGAGAGTGAGGGAAGCTGGCATGGCTTTCAAGGGCCGAGGCACCAAAGGGTTGAGAAAGGTGCTGATGTCTGCCTTGGAGCTGGTCAGGGAGACTGTAAACATCAAATTAGGCAAGCGTCATGCCTTTACATCTACTCGGCGTTGACAACTTGGTCGTATCCCCAAAACGCAAGTGGCGAGTCTGTTCGATGGCATTGGGAGCTGCTCCTCTGGACGCACGCGTAGATGAGAAGCTTGAGGCTTATGGGATGTTAGATGATCGATGAGACGCGGGCTCAGTACTGCAGCTGTGCAGTGCGAAGGCTCGTCTGAGGGCGCAAGGAACGACGCAGCGTGAGTTATGTTACCGTCTACCAAAAGTCCTGACTAACACTGTGAGACGCGTGCGCAAAGCCAAAAATGAGCTGTACGAGATGCTTTTGAGGTACAGACTATCGATGATACGGACGTCTGGGGGGAGACAAGAAGCATGTCGATCGTTGTAACGTTGAACGTTGGAACGTGGACGCGTGAAAGGAAAATCGGACAAATTCAGGGCCAAGGGACGATACCGGAGAAATACGGGCCGCTTGTTTCTCTCTTCCGCGCGTACAAGTCTGTCGTTCTCCTCTCTCTGTGACCATCAGCTAAGCTAATTCCAGCGCGCTCCTCGTCCACCGGCCTATGCTTACCCAGTGTGCCACCGCCATCCCCTTTGGCACGGGCGATATTATCGCTCAACAGGAGAAGAGGAGGCTTATAATAATCCCATGCCACTCTCTCAGTGTATAATAATAGAGTACACGAAACATGAAACCATTTCCCAATACTACGTCCCGCAAGCCTTGATGTACCATTGCCCTGATACGCCCTTACTGCAAAAGCTTGCTCACGAGGTATTACCAGTAGCGAGTTGTATCAGAGAAAAATGGATCAAGAATCCTGCCTCGCTGCACTGATACTCAGCGCTCTCCTAGCATGAAACTCGCAGACTCGTAGGCGCAGCTCTTCCGATCAGAAATGCCTCATTGGCGATGTCTTCGGTACACCATTCATCTTCCTCATATGCGCAATTAGCGTGCACTGACTATTGTTACAGGTACTTTGTGCTCTCGTGGACTCGCCCAACATGGCAAGCGCCGCATGTTCATTCGAACCTCAGTAGTGTGATTGCAACAACCGCTAGCTCTCCTGGGCGTGGAGGCACATGCCTAGAAAATAAATGAGGAGAAGCAAAGCCAGCCACGGCTCATGTTTTCCAAACAGCCCCCAGAACGTTGTATGAGTAACAGAATTATGTAACCATTTCACGGTATTGTGGCAGCCTACCAGCAATTCTATTGCCTTGATATGCTATGCTCATTGTAGATCCGCAGAGCCTTCTGGCAAGTCGTTACCTTTTACTGAATTGCACGAAGAGACGCTGAGAATCTGGTTCAACAATTCTGCCTTGATTCTCAGCATTGACGAAGGTGTCGATGAATGAGTGCCGCTGCTCAGGACCCTGATTTTGGGAATCCATCCAGGGCCAGGCCTTGGGCGAACTTTAAAAGTCAAACTTTGTCCAGGCTTACCAGTCCTAGAGTACACAATGCACACTGGTGGTACAATCGCCAATGGCGGCCAGAGAAAGGAAAACATATTCCAAAACTCCTGGAGAAACCTGAGTCTCCAGTCTACTGGCATCACGGTTTTGAATCGCGCCGGCATTCCTAGTAGCTCAAACGCAAGCTGGGTAGCCAATTGAAACAAACAGGCGCCCAGTGATGTCGACAGAGTAAGTTGCCGAGCGTTATAGCATACTCGAGTTTGACTTGAATAAGAAATACTAAATATAATGTCAACTGAATCCTGTCTATTGAACACTCTCTAGTCGCAAACGCTGTGGTAAGCGCTGCCCCGCGTGTAAATGCCCCTGATGAGAACAGTACACTAGCGGGTGAGGGCACTGGTGGCAGATCAGAGTCCTATTCTTGTCACATTTTCAGACACAACACAAAAGCGAGTTCTGTGGACGACGGCGGGGCGGAGAGGACAGCGAAAAGCAGTGGGAGTATACTGGCAGTGCTAGTATACAGAATGTGGTGACAGAAGTGCGAGAAAGCAACGAATAAGAAAGTCCAACCGCCGGACAATAGCCAACGTCCAGTCTCGTTTCAAGCCCATTTAGACAATAGCTTCGCAGGCACAAAGGTAAGCGCGTTCGCACCAACAGCGGAAGTCCCGTGCCTGCCGTTGATCTCCCACACAAAAAGACGCATTCAGAGGTTCGTGGCCATCTTTCAGGACTTGAAGGCAGGCAGAATAGAGACTCGAAAAATTTAAAATGCTTACCATCGCAAAGTCCAAATCTTCCACTTCTTGAACGTCTCATTGCCGAAATCTACGGAAAACTGGTCAGGGATTGGAAAAGCACGAATACGAATAGAAAGCGAATGCCGTTGGAATGCTGGGTTCAATAAATAGAATTTACCCATGGGGTTTCGCAGCTGCATAATAACCGAGCATCCTATATTCATAGATAGATAGATAGATAGATAGATAACCGGACAAGGTCCCGACTCGGAAAGGTACGACAGGGGGTATTGAAGCTAACTAAAGCTGAATCCGAGTCCGATATTGAATTCTGTAGCCATTATTCAACTTTCCTCACTTCGCGGGAGGTAGACATGATGCTTGTTACTTCACGTTACTTGAATTTTTCTCATTCGAATCTCGAGGCCCAGGACCCAACTTCCCCCGGGCCTTTTGGAATATTTAAACTGGCTCATCATGGACTTATCCTGCATCGACTGCCAACAACCCTTGCACCACATTAAGATGCCATCTCACTCAGCAATCCTCAGCATCTATGATGCTTTTCGGAAGGCTCAGATCGATATCCCCGTGAGGATCGGCGGCCTCAACACAACGAACGATATCGGAGAAAATGCCATCACCCTTAATCACGTTGACGAGGCCAATAATGTTGCAGTCGCCGTTCGTGGACACTTTGGTGAGCGCCGTCATGCTAGCGGATACTGCGACGGTACGAACATATGCGTATAGCCTCAAATTCATATGATCTGAAAACCAAGCACCAAGCCGACTTGATCACGAAAATGTACCATACTGCGGTAGAGAGTGCTTGTAGGTTCATCCTTTCAAGTTTTTTTTTGCAATTGCTGATACCTCGACTCATAGATTATAATGCTACTTTCTTCCATGATGCCACTCCTGTGGACAGTCAAAAAGAAATCCAGGACCTTAAGGATAAAATACGAGACTTGGAGCGCAGGATCGGCCCGGGTCGTGACTCTGTCGTTGAAAAGATCGATAGCGTTCAAATCACCGCTGAGAATGTTCAGACTACACATCGAAATAGTTACCGCGGATACACAGGGAATTTCTGCCCGCTCAAAAAAGTGGTATGATACTTCGTTCTCTGCCTTGTTTCTTCTGGATTCTGACGACACCTTCATCAAAAGACACCGGGCTCTGGTTTTGACCTCGCCAATGCAGTTCGTCTCAAAAACGAAAACAGCACAACTACTACACTTGTGCAGGTCACCGCCGAGGTTGGTTCTACTCCTCCGA